CTCTCTCTCGCTCTCTCTCCCTGCCACGACTAGCCTGGCCGACTACAAAGGTCCGTAGACCAATCGAATCGACCGTCGATATGCCTGTTTCCTCCGACAAGGTGTTTGTTCGACCGCCTCTCTTAGGAGGGCTCCCCGAGTTCCACTCGATTTCCTCGGGAACTCACAAATCTTGCCAAAACAGTGTTAATAAATTTTCTAAATGAAGGCGCCAGTAGTGGAAGTATTGCTAGTAATTTCAAATATGTTTGTTATGTCTTCTATGTACTTTTGTCCATACTTTATGATTATTACCGTCATTTGTTTCTTTATGTCAAATTTTCCCCTCACTAAACATTTGTATAGGTATTTCTTTTCTTTTACGACAAATGTCAAGACAAAAGTATACCCACGACTCTCTCCATAGGTAATCTTAGCAGAAGTACAAACGAGATGAGTTTGACGTGCGTCCACGGCAGGTCTAACTACCGAAAGTTGAAGTTATAAATTTTTTTTTTAGGAAGTGGGCCCCTTTTTTCTTCCGTAGGGGCGGTCTTGGGGGGATGTCTCCTCACTTCCTGATCTCCTACCACTCCTTTTCGGGGGGGATCTCCTCGAACTCCAGGTGGGGAGTGAGTATTTGTTTATCGTAAAATTGGGGAATGGATATACGGCACTCGACTAGTACCCGCGAAGTAACATTGTACGAGTAAGTCTACGTTAATCCGAGATTATGATTTTCCGGAGTTTACCTTTTTTCGTGACAGACACGACAAAAAAAGTGATTATCGACGTTAATCCATCTTAGAGCGGAAAGTGGATCCGGCTCCAGCCACTATGACCCGAATTTTTTCCACCACTGGTGACACCTTTCCTTTGTCTTTACTTACCCGCGTTACATAGGCCACCACTTTAAAACTCACTGTTGGAGGAAGCTAGTCGTTCCCGAACTTCTCATTTGCACCGACCAGAAAGTCTTTACTGTTTCACTACGGGGTTTGTGTGGCCGCCCGTTGCTTCCTCACCGAAGCATTCTTCCGTAAGTTCCAGGACCTCAGCCGGATCAGGTCCAGGAGGTCTGAGTTGGGGTTACTCTTTAGAAACCTCCCTAACTTTCAGACACAACGGTCTGTTACACTAAAAGACCTTAATAAAAGAAAAAGAGTAAACAGAGAGTATCAACTCCATATGTGGATCCTACTTTTAATGTCCGGAAGAATAGAAAAATTCAGCCTCTTGAAACGTGTTTAACCACCGGACTGTATTATGAAAACGGGGTGACATATGATTTTGTACAGACACTTCAAAAAAAAAGTTTTATGGTTTGTCTAGTATATCGTAAAATCGGTACGGGAGTAAAGCTAAATAAACTAGAAAAAGTCGGCAAAAACGTTCCCGGACTTAGGACACTACATCGAAATTTCGTTTACTCAACGACTTCGACTGGTACGGGGTAGACGTCCTCTCCTCACACGAGGTCGACGACCGAGGTCTTCTCCCCCTCCTTTCTCTCGGAAGGCAGAGGCACAAAATTAAGAATATGACCTTAATATATACACATAATTAAACAAATTTCGAGTTATTAATTGTTTCTTCTGGAAACTGGCCGTGAAAAAGATTAAAACAGGCCTTCTAAATTTGAAACTGCCTGTAGGATTGACTTTGAGACGACGTGCCAGGGGGAGCAGGCAACCTTCTCGCCTCTCCACCCACAAACAGTAGACGACACCTGGATGGCTCTCTAAAGTGTCGCCTCGTTTCGACGACGGAGCCCTCCCTCTTTTTCTCGGGTTTTCGCCTCTTATTCAGTCTTCCCGTTGGTTACGTCGCCCTTCAGAAGAAGGCGACGAAAACCACCGTTCTGATGTGCGACGTTAATGTCCGGGGACCGTATACATGATTGTTCGCAAAGGGTCGCGAAAGCTCTCCCGAGCACACTTGCCTGTACAGAGCACACTTGCTGGTGCATAAGGCCCGACTTGCAGTCGAGCCTTACCTTTAGACATAGGCGAGCAACATTTCGGGCAAAAATTTTCTAAACCCATGCCTCCTTTTCTCTCCATGAAAATAAAAGACTGCGACGCACTCAAGGGGCTGTGTCGCCCCTGTGTACAAAATACATATTTTCTGTAGTGTTTCAGGTAAAGACGTCCTTTATCCAGGGGAAATTTCATAAGATACAACGTGACTCATAACAGTGTATATGAAGGTGTAGGAAATTGTCAAAGATAAGTAAAAACCAAGTTATGTGAGGAAATATGCCTCCCGGTACAAGACGTACAGGTACAATGGCCCATAGTCCTTATTCGATACCGGTCTGTTGGCCCCCCACTAGGAAGTCAACAAGTCCCGCCCGAAGTCTAACAAAGTCCCCCCCGAAAGTTCAAGGTCCCCCCCGAAGTCTACAAGAGTCCCCCCTAGTGAGCGAGTGCAGTCGGCCGGCCTCCCGAGCCGATCTGTATCACACTAAATGCGCTATTGCCACACACACACAGAGCCGAGCTTGAATGACACAAGCACACGTGTATTTCCATGCAACTCTCTGATTGGTCTGGTGACTTGCCTCTGTTGCATTCACTGAACACGGAAATTGCAGTCCTGCCGTCCTCTCTTGTGTCATGATGAGGTTCACGTAAAGCACGGTTAATGTATTATATTATTGAGGTGTCTCAAATATACGTCAATCAAGTGGCACCTGCTAACGGGGTGGTGGATGATAGGTTTACATCTAAAAACGTATTTTTCAAACATTATTATTTTAATTTGATTTTTCTTTCTTTTGTTACTTTTTTTTTTAATGGTCCACGATCTACCCGCACCACACTCGCGATCGACCGGTCGATCGCGGTCGACTGGTTGGAGACCACTGCTTTACACGGATCAGTCGTCCTGGTCCCTTTGCAGAAAAACAGCCCCAAAGCATGATGTTTCCACCCCCATGTTTCACAGTAGGTATGGTGTTCTTTGGATGCAACTCAGCATTCTTTCTCCTCCAAACACGTCTAGTTGAGTTTTTACCAAAAAGTTATATTTTGGTTTCATCTGACCATATGACATTCTCCCAATCCTCTTCTGGATCATCTAAATACTCACTAGCAAACTTCAGACGGGCCTGGACATGTACTGGCTTAAGCAGGGGGACACGTCTGGCACTGCAGGATTTGAGTCCCTGGCGGCGTAGTGTGCTAGTGATGGTAGCCTTTGTTACTTTGGTCCCAGCTCTCTGCAGGTCATTGAATAGGTCCCCCCGTGTGGTTCTGGGATTTTTGCTCACCGTTCTTGTGATCATTTTGACCACACAGGGTGAGATCTTGCGTGGAACCCCAGATCGAGGGAGATTATCAGTGGTCTTGTATGTCTTCCATTTTCTAATAATTGCTCCCACAGTTGATTTATTCACACCAAGCTGCTTACCTATTGCAGATTCAGTCTTCCCAGCCTGGAGCAGTTCTACAATTTTGTTTCTGGTATCCTTTGACAGCTCTTTGGTCTTGGCCATAGTGGAGTTGTGGAGTGTGACTGTTTGAGGTTGTGGACAGGTGTCTTTTACTGATAACGAGTTCAAACAGGTTCCATTAATACAGTTAACAAGTGGAGGACAGAGGAGGCTCTTAAAGAAGAAGTTACAGGTCTGTGAGAGCCAGAAATCTTGTTTGTTTGTAGGTGACCAAATACTTATTTTACCGAGGAATTTACCAATTAATTCATTAAAAATCCTACAATGTGATTTCCTGGATTCTTTCCCCCCATTCTGTCTCTCATAGTTGAAGTGTGCCTAGGATGAAAATTAAAGGCATCATCTTTTTAAGTGGGATAACTTGCACAATTGGTGGCTGACTAAATACTTTTTTGCCCCACTGTAGGTATGGCCCTACAATATATTATTCAAATATAGCATGATAGGTCCACTTTAAAGAGAACTGTTAGAAATGTTGCCCCCAGCTGGAAAAGCCATGTTACTACAACACAAAGAAAGCAGGCTGTAAAGCGCACCTGGGTCACCATGTGTCAGGTTTTTGTTTACATCTTAACCTTATGTAAATGCTATTTAAAACCAAAAAAACATTTCAGTAAAATATATTGGCTGAATTTTAAGAATTGCATAGTTTTTTTTAGGGTTAAATATCTTCAAACATAAAGAGCCATAACGTTTGGTAGGGCCACAGACATATGATGTTCAGCAGATCCAAATATTTAGAAAAACACAAGCGGATGTCAATATTCCCTGCTAAAAATCCAGTGCTGGATTCATGTGCCAAATGTCAAGAGTTCTAACAATCATAATCTTAAGAGTTATGGCTTGAAATCCTGGGTTGCAATTTCTTCCTTTTTTATAAGATCTAAAAATATAGACCTGTGGAATGTGTTAGGAAGGTTTCTATACATAACCAAAAAAGCCACACATATTTTGACACGGAAGGACCCACCTGTCTTTGGGCTCCTCTTTACACCATGCTCATAATTATCCCACAAAAGATCCCACAAATATTAGAAATCACATTTCTTGGTGAGGACATGTTTTATACAGGAGGCCCTCTAGATATTTGATACGTGTATTGTCTGTGAGTATTGTCTCTGTTTACTGCATGAACTGTGACGGTGCCCTCTTGTGGCATGTGTTAATTTTGTATTCACTTTTATTTAGTGACGCAAGTGGCTTGTTCAGTATTTCCTGTTGGGTTTAATTTACTTTTACCTTCATACTAACCCTTTACAGATTGAATACAACTTTGGACTCTCACACCTATGACTTCCATTCTCAACTGTAAATATTTCTGTTTTTGTGGTACAGTCGTTGGAGTTTCTTTTTTTCGTACAAATATCTTGGCTCCTAATTTGTTCTGATATATTTGTGATTTGAAATCGACCCTCCTCTCTGATGTTTTCTGTCAATGTGTCAAAACGTGTAAAACTTTGTCTTGGGATTGTAATGTTATATGTTGTGATAGTTTTGCTGATGAGTGGAAGCTGCCCTTTGAGGTTAACTATTTATCTTACCTCCATGAGCAGTAACATCATCTTCTTATGTACGAACTCCATATTCTCCCAAATGCTAAACAGTTTGCTCTGTAGAGGTTAACCACACATTGGGCGGCTTCCACTTGTTATCGTGTAAGTGTGCATGCTCTGCATATTGTTCCCAGGGTGGATCGGAGGAAATGCGTGGATCTTGTTGATCTTCCCTGTTAATAATCTTATAAACTCAATTTAATCTTAACCCGTTTATGGATTGCCCTAACAGCAGAGGAGCCAGTGGTAGAAGCCCCCCCAGAGGAGGCAGTAGAACCCCCTGCTGCTCCTGTAGTTGAGGAGGGTAAGAGATGAGATGAGAGGAAACTCAGGACAAAAGATACTGTGATTTTATTTATTCATTCAATCTTGAATAATAGATACATTCTTAGTCCACGAACAATTTTCTCAACCTATCGATGAGTTAACTAAGGAGTTTCTCCATGAAGCAAAAGCAACACTTTAAATATTTTGCCTACCAGAGAACTTTCTCATAAGTTTCTTGGAAATAAGTTATTAAACATAAAAACGTTCTAATCAACTAAAGGAAAAAAGGGGCAGCCCTTTGTGTTGTTGGTATACAACAACCAGCAGCAATAGTGAACTGCTGTCAATAAATTGCAGTCTGTAAAGGACAAGAGTGACCGTTTGATGAGCCATGAGGCCCCGCCAAGCTGCTTCACAGAGCACTGTACACTTTAAAGTTTATTGATATTAATCGTGCCGTTCTACACTGCAAATCCTTGAGTCCCTAGCAATGCACCCAGACAGAGATTCTTTCTTTATTGTTAGATATACAGGTGCTATATACACCTCTGTTTACAATCTGACCTGAGTCTGAGTAGTAGATTCACGACGGCTCAATTCAACATGTGTTCAAATCAGAGTTCATTATGTAACTGTGCCACTTTACTACCAGAACCACCAGCAGCAGAGCCAGTGGTAGAAGCCCCCCCAGAGGAGGCAGCAGAGCCCCCTGCTGCACCTGTAGTGGAGGAGGGTAAGAGAAGAAAGATATGTTTTCATACATGAGGAGAAAACATACTCTGATCTAATTCATTTATCCATTCTATTTGTAATAATAGCACAGTGCTTGTTTAAAACATGCTAGTATTGCTAATTGAAGCTTTTTCGAGCACCGCTTATACAAACAACTTAAAAGACACTGCTCCTCCTTTAACATAAATGTGAGTGCATTTTGCTGGAAGGACATCTTGTTCTCTGTTCGCTATGAAGGACTTTTACTGTCCAGATAAATCGTTTCAAAACTTGAAGAAAAGTACTTATTTTTCCACTGCTAATTATAACATTGTATGTTTGCCTGGAACTCTTAAATCACTAAAGCTGCTACTTAAAAATGCACCCAAGTTACACACTGTCGGAAACATCGGTGAGATAAACTAACCAAAGTTTATTTCCAAAAATGCTTAGTTGTAGAAGTATTTTGCTAGTGGAATTGTACTTATTGTTAGATGCTTTTTATCAGGTTACACATCATGGAGCTAAACGCTTATTCCTGGTGACAACAAAAATCATAATCAAGTCGTAGCTACCTGCATTATGTAACTGTGCCACTTTACTACCAGAACCATCAGCAGCAGAGCCAGTGGTAGAAACCCCCCCAGAGGAGGCGGCAGAGCCCCCTGCTGCACCTGTAGTGGAGGAGGGTAAGAGAAGAGACAATACTCTGATTTCATTCATCGTATTGGAAAGATAATAAGGTGCCATTTAGTGCTTTTCTATCTGACCTTAGTCTGTGTAGAAGATAACACCCTACAGTTCATCTTAATGAAAATAACCCTACAGAGAAATACAACTATTTTCTTTAGCCTTCCCTTGATCTGGTCTGTTAGTGCATTCACACCTAATAGTCCACTTCTCTGGTGCACACCAGACCACAGTTTGTTACATTGTTTCATTTTTNACTAGAAAGACTACAAATGATGATGTCACAATTGTTTTCCTCCACTAAGAGATAGCTAAGATCAGCGCCATATGGATAGAATCTATCTATATGGTGCTGGTTAACCAGCACCATATAGATAGATTCTATCCATATGGCGCTGATCTTAGCTATCTCTTAGTGGAGGAAAACAATTGTGACATCATCATTTGTAGTCTTTCTAGTTGCGTATTTTTCATAGTCTTATATTTCAACAGTTTTACGACAAACTGTGACTTTTTTGACATGGAAATGATTTTTTAAGATTGATAAACATCATATGTGTAATTCATGGCACAATTCAAACGGGATCGAAAGATACGTTTTCTCTCTTCATTGACTCCAATGCATAATTTTTCCGAAATAAGTACCCATGGACCGGAAGTAGATGGGCGTGACTTTGCCACTCTATTACCAAATAATGAGTATGTGGGAGTTCCCCTCGATTCCATTGGCTCTGACGTTAGAAAGAGATGTCAATCAGCAAAATCGAGCAAGGGGGGCCAGAGATAGGTCAAATCCACCCAAATGACCCCAGAAGTGGATTTTTTTTGCTAAACCTCTCTAAAAAGTTCAAATTTCACTTGTTTTGCATCAATCTTGATACAGGGTACTTATAGTTTGGATTCCTAAAGCTTTTAGTCTACCATCCCATCATTCAAGGGTGGTTTTACCATGGAGACTATAATTTTTTTTTTTTTTACTGTGTTCAATCTGTATTTACTTTAAAATAAAAACATCTATATTGATTCTGACACTTCTACATCCAACTCACAGATGTGACCTTGCTTTGAGAAAAAAGATTATTGATTTACCACTTTTAGAAGGGAAGATATGGTCATTTGTTCTGGGTATGTCATTTTTGAGCCTGAGACCTGAAAAACAGGCTCAGGGCTTAACAGGATAAGGCAGTACTGTACTACCAATCTACACAGTATTTCAAGTATCAATGCTAATATGCTTTTACAAGTATTTGTTAGTGATGAAAACCTGATAAAATAGAAACCATAATTGTCAGGGAATAATTTGCCCTGCATGTCCTCCTTCACTCTCTGACGCAAATTCCCAGCCTTGGACAGTCGCTATCTCCCATAAGGAGGGGCTGCCCTAGTATTTTGTTGTTGTTACCAGTTTGTGACCGGGCAACTCTCGGTCAGAGATAGTTATTGTTGTGGGACACCTGGAACACATCCTTCTCGGGGTGTGCTGTAGATGACCCCGAGCCATAAGTGACAACAATGTGATTCAGTGTCCTCAACTGTTTAGTCTATCTATTGAAGAATGTTGATTACCCTCAGCAAACCTCCAACCAGAGGAAGGTTTTTTCAGAATTGATTTGGCATCTCTACCTGGGGTCAACTCGTGGCTCATGACATGTCCTGTGAATTATCCCGCCGTAACTCCAAATAAACCGTCAGTGTTTGCCATCAAAGCTCCAGCTCCCCTCTTGTCTCTCTGAGTCCTGTTTCCAATTGCTTCAGAAGTTTTCCCCACAATAATAATATAATAAGATAAATATACATAAACATAAACTCCATTCTACATCACAAGTATTTTTACTTTTGATACTTGAACTACATCTAATACCTAATACCTTATAATATTCTGAAATGGAATCATGGAAAAAAATCAGGACGTTTTACTCGTAGTGGAGTCTTTAAACTCCATTGTATTTTTTGCTTAAGTAAAGGATCTGAATACTTCTTCGAACACTGTCCTCCATGCAGTATCATTCTCAGTAAAGCTCCCAACCAGGGGTACAGGGACCCTAAGGATACTTGAGGGGATTGTAGGGGGTACGAAGAGAGATTAGGGATTGCAATATTATTTCCACACAACAAACTTTTTTAATCAATGTTCATAATCCTGGTGTCCTGCCCCCAGAACTACTGTACCAAAGCTTAAGAAAGACAAGCAAGCTCAAGTGTCTCAATAAAAGGTGTCCAAACTGCTAGAAGTGAGTCTTAATATTATTATTTCACTCACAACAAATGTGAAGTTTAAATGCATTTGTAGTAAGGGTAAGTTATACAAGTGGTTTTCATGAAGCAGCTGGGTTTAATACAATTACAAAGGGTTTAATACAAGAAAAATGTAGGCGAATCATCACAGTGAGGGGGTTCTTATAGAATGGAGACCATGCTCAAGGGGGACACGAGACAAAAAAGGTTGGGAACCACTGCTGTAACCCATAGTTACCGCTAGAGGTCGCACACCACCCACAGGCAGTAGGGTCTTTATTTAGGTCAATATCACTCAATCATCAGGTCCGGCTCGGTCTGCATCCACAGGTGGCTCTGCCACCATGGCATTGTGTTTTTGAAATAAAATGAATCACTGCCCTGGATGAGATACATTTAATGATAAGATAAGATTGACTTTATTGATACCAAATTGGAAGCTTTTTTTCCGTTACAGCAGCAAACCAAGGGATTGAACATGAGGTGTAAAGATAAACACAAAATAGAAACATGTCAAAATAGATAATGAAACAGAAATAGCCTACAAATATATTCATATTGTAGACAGTAAAAGATAAAATCTGTCAAAAAAACACAATGAAGGGCCAAATTGCAACTAACAAAATGTAAAAGTATAGGATATTATTACACTAAGTGTGCCAGGAATAGCATATTCAATTAAATATACATCACATTTAGAAAAATAGACTGTCACAATTTGTTTTAGTGTTTGTCGAAAAGTATTTCTATAACATTTTCTGTGGACGTTTCTGCTATTCTCTTTCTTTTAAGCATTTTAAGCACTTTGCATGATGTCCCAATCCTTTTTGTAATTTCAAATGTATTGGACTGTAAGAAACATATTATATTTTCCTAGTCAAGCCTACTTTACGTGGATACAATTATGTCATCATTCATATTATGTGTGGCAGTGTGTGCGCGCGGTGCTCCGTCAGAAGAGTTCCCGCTGCAGCGCCACAACACCCTCCCTCTCCCAGGAACAACACAGAGGAACAGGAGGATGCTTCATGAGCGGATCTCACAGCTCAAATATCTTCAGGGTCGATAGACACGGGACCGAGGAGGGTTAAAAAGAGCGACATGTTGCCTGAACACCACACCGAGGAGCGGAAGAGGACGAATCTCCGGTGAAGCTCCAAACACTCGGCGTTCCGCGGGAGGGGGGACACGGGGACCAGGAGCACAAAGTGTGGGGGAAATGTTCAAAGTTCCGCCGTGTGAACGCCCGCAAAGCGTCGTCCCGTAACACCTGCAGAACATTGGCATGAATTGAATGAAGCATGCATGTCGTTTGGGATATATCTGTGATTCTGCAAACATTCATCATCTGCACGTCATCAGGTAGGTGCCGAGATGGAGCTATGAGTATCAAAACAACTGAAAAAAAAGAAGAGAATATCAGATAGTTAAATTGTGTATGAACACAAAATGAATTAAAAGTAACATTGTCATTTTAAAGGTAGGCCTAACTTATTATGTAAAATCCACTTGTTCATGTCTCTTCTACATCAACATGTGTCCCCTCTGTGTAAAGAGATTCTGAAAGTTTCAGGAACAAAGATTCTCTCTCTTTTTGTCCTGATCCATTTATATAAAAACCTGTCGGAAAATGAGCTGATCAGATTTTGGCCACTTGATGATGTCATAATGTTTTTGGGCCAATCAGCAACCAAGGTAACCCCCCTCCCCCCACTTTATCACCTGATCCATCTTCCTAGAGCACCATTGGTTTCTTTTTAACCAATTATCTCTCAGAGGGGCGTGGGGAGGGGCTCCTTATTTTCATCTAAAGTGACAGACAGAGAATCAGCACTTTGGAAACAGGGCTGAAACAGAGGGGATTATGGGATGCTGCAATGACCTGTTTGGTGTTTCAGCCAATCAGAGACAGGTTTTGTATATATCTGAGACCAATAATATATTGATGAAAAACAGTATAATAGGGGACCTTTAATGTAAATGTTACTGTGATATATTGATTCAGATATTTAGAATTTGGTTTGCTGAATTTAGCTTACTGTACAACCATCTTAAATACCAACACAGAATCAGAGAATCAGAATCCCTTTATTCGTCCCACAGAGGGGAAATGTACAATAACAGCAAAGAGCCAAACACAGCTTAATATGTTAATATATCACTCAAGAAGAATGCATTAAAAAAAAGAAAGATACAAATCTAGAAATTACACAATTTACAAGATACACATCCAGTTTAGTGATATAGCAGCCAGGTGAAAGTATAAAACTGGTAGTATACATTTCACAGCAATTGCCAATAATGTAATTTGTTACACAAAGTGGGTGGCTTACAGTATTAACATTAGTGTCAACAGGCTGTTTGCACTTACGGCCCGTCTACACTACAGGCATCAAAAAATCTTGATGCTGGGCGTGTCTGAAGCTTGGCGATTTTTTGCGAGCAACGCGACCAACAACCATATGTACATCCGGATGCCATTAGACGGCGCTACAATCAAACGCGCCGGGGTAGAGGTGCACGTCACGACGTATTGCCGACCAGAAAGTCAAATTTGAGGAGCTTGCCCCGCGAGCGAGAGAAAAGTAATCCGCGTATTGTGGGCTCATGAAAGGGTGTTCCAAGTACTCTCTGAATCAAAGTACGTCTTGCAGAAATCAAGAACTACTCTGATTTCAATGTCTAGCGACAAGGTCGGCCCATATTTAGGCGACCCCCACCTACATCGTTTTACTTCGGCGACCTGCAGTGAGAAGGAAGAAGGACGAAACCAAATAGACCGTCCGGCGTTTGTTGAATGCGCATATGACGCGGTTTTAGGGCAGGACTTCAGGCGGGCCAACAACCCTAACGAAGCTCCACTTCTGACGACCCTGAGGGTCGTCGAAGATGATTCGCGAAGGCTCATTTTAGCGGGTCTTGCGGCTGTGGAAGGAGTAACGGTAGCGAAGGCGCTACAGAAATAACACACGCGTATCAATCAGAGAGACGCAAAGACGCGACCCATTACGATTAGATTATTACGATTATTGTTACCACCGAAGTGTGTGAAAAACTCAAATGCCCCGCACCAACGTTACGGGCGGGTCCGTTAGTCTTTATATCGATAAAAGAGTGTCCTCTCGGCGCTCACTCTCAGGGACGAGAGATCGTCCTGCCTTTCCCCATTTTCCAAGGAGTACTGGATTAAATCAAGGCCGAGAAAACCACACCTTGCGTCTGTAAGCTTTATATAGCCTGATCTTCAACCTTTTCCATAGGCCACACTTGCGCGAGAACTTAACGGATAATGCCCCACTTGTCCAGTTCCCACGCGCCGCAACCTCCCCATCGCGCTCGCACACGCCGGCGCCAATCACAACTCGCGTCCAGAGACACCTTTTCGCATCTCTCATCTCTCTCTAATATCTATGGTAATGGCATGACGCGAGTATTTCTTCTATTCTTATTCTCATTACGCAAGAACTTGACCAAGTAATTGAATCACAGAATGCAAAGTGTCCTGACAATCGAACCACCACCATCCGACCATCGGATAAAATAATTTCTCGATAGTTTCTTTCTGAACACAATACAGAGAGGTATTACGTTATGATTAACCCCCACGTTCACTCAGAGCGTCTCCGTTTTGACACCGCACGAATGTGACATCCACCCGGTGTCCAGACGCACTAGACGACATCCTCCAGCCAAGAGCCAGATGCGCTCATTGCATTCGCGGCTCATTTAATGCTCATTCACAACACAATATGATCATAACTCTCGACATGCTAGCTCATCATCTATACAATAGCCTACAATGAAACATCCATCCTGTCATTGCTTCAAACCACGTATTAATAATGCGAGTAATATAATTTTCATTATACATTATATATAATAAAAAATCATTGCTGGGGTAGAGACGTAGTGATTGAATCATAAAACAAACATTACGTACAATACATTGTATTTCGCAGACACCGAGAAAAAGCACTACATTGATGCGTGTAAAGAGGAGGCACCCTTATTATTTTCGGATAAGCCTAAGACTAAGACTATTTTGTTTGTGTAACCGCCAACGTACCCACGCGCAATGGTGGCGATTCGATTTCCACCGATTAAAACTACTGCAAATATAAATAAGTCAATGAGGTGGGACAATCGTGTGGCGGAAAAATTTCTGTGAATTTTCTAAACTGTAAGTGTTCAAAATAAATGACTGTATTAAAATATAACATCTTGTTTGCATTTTACTAAAATTCCAACACAACCTATGTCTGGAATAATAAGATTGTTTTGTTCAATTTTTTTTTGTAACTGACACTCTGCCTTGTCCTTCACCATTTTACGTTTGAGGTAAAACCCAAAATCCTGAGTAAGGACGTGGTGAGCTCACGGTCGTCATGAAGAATACCGACAGTTCATATTAGCCTCAGGTTAATTAGGTGTAGATTTTAATCTTTCATAAATTACCATTAGGAAATAATTAATATGATAAACCATCAGTAATCAATATAAACTATCCAATATGACAGACTTAAACGAAAACCAAAGTAAATCCGAATAAAGTAAGAAGAAGAAATTTATATAACAAAAAAAATTCTACGTCATCCACTTGTGGATTAAACAAGTTGGTTACAATACGAGTTAAACGTAACGTAAACTATATATGTCATCGATTAGGTTTAGATTGTATTTTATTAGTCTAATGTACTAATTACGTCCAATGACTAATCTAGAAAATTGTCAATAATTAACATTGCCTTATGTAAAAGTTTCATTCGAGGGTTGGCTTGAGGGTTTAAGTCAGTTAAAGTTTCCAATACATAAGGTCACACTGTACACGATGACATTACCGGCAAGTTGATGTCCGTAGCTTTTTTACGAAAGTTGCGAAGCGGGTAAGTGAACTTACCCCACTGCATCTTCTAAAAAATAGAGCGGGCTTGACGTAACACCCCTCATTACCGTACCGAAACGTTCGTAGTGCTCGTCGTAGATTATTTTAGCCGTAGTTTTCAACTTGTTACAGTTGAAAACTCCGAGCTACGAACCGTAGTCGGTTAGTTTAGGGCAAATACGCTTAGGGTGGTCACGTTCGCGTCGGTTAGTTTGGCGCACGTTCGACCCTCTCGGTCTGGCGTCAATTAAAGGAGTATAAGGTTTGCTCTATAATGCCATCGTTTAGTGGGCCAAGAAATGCTGGTCATGATAATGCGCCCTATGTTTGGCCTCCTTGGTCCCGTACCTCCCTCCACCGTCTCTGTCACCCACTTTGCCATCTAAAAAGCGGACAAACCTCTCAAATATAGGTCAAATGAAGCAAATTGTAACGATAACGAAACATACAGCCCCCCGCCCTCT